TGAAAGCCAATAGGAGTGACTTTTGAATAGATTAATTAATTAATTAAAAAAAGTTAAAGCCAAAGTAAGAACTAGGAATGTACCGATTGAACTTTCTCCAGTCCGGATACGATACCTTGGCTGCTGGGTATCGGCCGACACAGAGTCAAGGTGCTACTGCCATGTCGCGCATGTGTAATCAGACGTAGACATAGAATGAAATCAAGACATCAGCACCAGCACCCGAGCCAGCCAATTAGGTCAGTATCAGCCCGATATCCGAAATAAGTATTCCTGTCACTGAAGACCCCAGACAACCAAAACCACGACAAAATCTTAAGACAGACTGTCAGAGTGCCGGATCCCAGTAATGAACAGACCCAGAAGGGAAACCCTCACCAGGTACATGAATCAGATCAGGTTAGATCACCATTAAGCAGAAGCAGATGTTACTAAATACAGCGCCATAAAAAGAGTGTGAAAGCATTCTTTAAACTGTAAATACACGACTATATGGATACACATTTCTGCACGTCTGAGTATGCTGCAGCTTACTAAATGAGCTTTCCGAGGTGAATTCTTAGATAAAGCTTAACTTTATATTTTTGTGGGAGAGAGTAGCTTGTGTTTTCGAATTACCGTTGCAGATGTCGTCATATATAATCATACGTTTAAAAAAAAAGAAAAAAAAAAAAACACGTCAAGAGAAAGAGAGGTACAGAGAAAAATGTAGAGGAAGGCCGACACAGATGAAGATGTAGAGAAAAATGTAGTGGGAGACGGATATTAGCGGGAGAAGGATGGAGAGAGCATTGACAGTGTGATGGAAATAACTCCCACTTCCGATCACACGGGGATGCAATGCTGCTCTCTGCTATATTTCACCCTCTCCTCCTCATTCCCTCCATTCATTCGTTATCCTTCCTGCCATCTTCTCCTCCACGGCCTATTTTTTATTTTTCTATCCTCTTCTCTATCTCACTTCATGTGGTTTTTGAAATGTGCCTCCTTCTTTTATTTGCCACACTCTCTCTCTCGCTCCTCTATCTCTTGTTTTTGGCCTCCCTGAGGTCACTCATTCAAGGTTTTTCAGTAAAGCCAAACTGTACTCTATAATTAGCCAGAAAAGAAGCTGGTCAGATGGCCACATGCAGAGAGACGGACACTGAATGAGGAGAATATTGACAGAGTTAGAATGGTGGGAAGAGATATGCTGATACAGTAGGAGGATAATTTAAGTACTTTAGATAAATAGATTACGAATAAATATTGGTAGAAACATTGGAAAAGGGGAAAGGCACAAGAACAGCAACACATAATTAAATGTAACCCAAATAAAAAAGAACTTTTTTTTGTGACTGTCAAAGTTTCAACATAACCACCATTTTTAAAGCATCAAATACTGTGAGGTCACAACAACTCAAACTTATGGGATGATTGAAATATCTGAAACCAAGTTGTGAACTAAGAACTCGTGAATCGATCACATTGGATGCAGGCTTCACTACATTGTAATTGTCAGCCTAAGTTTGCACTCGATTGGTTTACTGGACTTGACCAAAATGCAGCGCTGCTTCCTGAAAGTGGACGAGAGACACGACGGAGTCAACTTGAAATTGTGGTCGAGCCGTCATTATTGTTTAAGAGCCTTGTGCTTCGAAACACTTTAATCATGAACATATTGGTCATAATAATATGAACGCTGATGACACGGCAAAAAAAAGTCAAACCCTCAAAGCACGGCGAACGAGTCGGGGTCGATGTTTCAAGACGGGTCGGGTGGGTTGCCGTCATGCACTGAGGACAGTCGGCACATCACTCCCTGTCAGTTATATTTCAGTATTATTACTGATTACACTTGTGTTCAATGTTGTCGCAATGCGTCCCAGACCACCTCCGGAGGTGGTTCTGCCAACGGGATCACAATCCATCCATCCATTTTTGCGTTCTGGGTGCATTTACACACGTAATTTCATGTGGTCAAGCAATATATAATAGCAATCTGATCCCCCAAAGGGCATTTTAAGGCATGGTGTCAATAATTTACTTCATTGAACGTATACAGTAATAAGCACTGAAGGGAAGGGACCATTGTATCACTTCTATATTCTTGTATCACATTGGAGCTGCATGTGTGCATCTTTCTGACTATAGTAGAAACTACAGATATGAAATACATCCATTTTGGACTTTATTTTTATACATAAGAGTGCTGGTTCTCTTTCAGCCTGGTGTGCAATTCTTGTCAGAGCCAATCTCATCTGAGTCATCCCCAGTCTCCCATTCAGCCCCATTGATTTGATGACAAACACTGAATCCACTCTTGTTGGCGGGCAACATGTTTTCTTTTGTTTCTGCCTGACAATATGAAAGTTAAAGATACGGAAAAAGACAGAAAGGGACTACCTGATATAGTGAGAGTAATGACTGTGATTCAAACTAAAGTCCAGCACTGTTTGATGTAATCTGTAATCACCTATTCAACTCTTGCTTTTCCCACCATATTCTAAATCCTTTAAAGAATGTTGGATATTTTTGTTGTAAAACACTAATCTCTCTTATCTCTTAAGTGAAGCTTTTATGAATAATGGAAAAAGAAAAGGGATTTTAAAAGGATAGAGGGGGTGATAGTGGGTCACAACAGAGTCCCCATCCAACGAAACAATACGAGTGACGCCCAGAGCTGTTTCGATGAAGAATCGAGGGAGGAGAAGGAGAAACGGGGGTGAGAAGCGAGTGAGCCGTAGATAGCAGCTATACAGTAGATCAAGAGGAATAAAGATAGACAGCGACAGCCGAGGAGGGGCTGATTGAAGGAGACAAAACGGGACAAAAATAAGAGACGTTCTATCCTGCAAGGCATCTCTCTCTCTCCGAGAATTTGGCAGATTATTAGAAGCGTGACCCTCAGAGGCTTCAATCCCCGGCTAACGAGGGCGACGTCTCCCAGCCGACGGGAGGAGGAGAGAGAGATTAAAGAAATGAAAAAGTTTCTGTCTAAATAAGCTTGAGATTTAAACAAAAAAAAAAAAAAAGGGTCGCCGCCCCGATAGATGATGAATTAAACGCACACACACACACAGAACATATAGGTAATTTCCCCTCTGGCTCATACATTATTGCCAATTTGGGAAGGGGAAGTTTGTTCGCTACATATTTGACGGACACCCCTTGCTGCTGTGAGATTAACCGATTAATCGTGCCAATAAGGAAGTGTTTATCAGTGTGAAGCTCTGTGCCACAGGAGCCCAAATGTTAATTAACAATGCATCAAAAGTCACACAGCTAACGGCAGTACATATCAAATTGAGTGATGAGGTCACAGTGGCAAAATGTAAAAAAAAAAAGGGGGTTTTAGAGGGAAACAAACCAAAAAACCCTGTAAGCTTGTTAGGATATGAAATCGGATTTTAATCATACTTTTGAGACATAATGAGAGTAATACCAATTTCATACAGAAACAAGCCTACAGCCTGTATTACCGATTGATTTAGTGTTCATTTTCTGGTCTTCCTTTGATGAACAGGAAATGATTTTCAGCACACAGATGCATTTTGCTCCGCAGCTTTCTGTTTTGACCGGGCCTTTACCTGGTCTGGTATGACCATTAGCTGACGGTGGCTAATGGTAGCCAACGTTAGCAAACGTTCAGATTCATATTATTGCGTCACTTCTGTGATATTGCGGTGACATTACTCCGTTTGCTGACTTTACGTCTCCTACCGTATCTGCAATGTGAACCAGCACGTCACAGATACACTTTTCAATAAAAGTAGGGAAATTATCCCGGAATTGCCACTTTTAATAACTTTTGCTGGTCATCAAACGTTGCGCAGTCTCATTCTAAAGCTAAGAGTAGCTCACATTTGGCCTTAAGACTCTGGAAGATTATTCATTCGTCCGGATCAGCCAACTGAGCAGTGTGCGCTCAGAATTAAATCATATTTACTCCGGGAGGCACTCAGCACAACCAGTATTTATATTCCGACGACGTAAAAAGAGCCCATGAGGCTCGCAGGGAAAAAATAAACAGGAAGAATTTAATTGCACTATCGGGCATGCAATGCGATGCTGACAGAGTGAAGGGTGAGAGGTGACTGACACTGCTAAAGAGAAGGAGGTTCTCCATTGACACTGGTAGTATAGACTCTCTTTCCCCCTGTGTGTGTGTGTGTGTGTGTAAGCGTGCTTATGCATGCATTAAGTGTGAGAGAGATAAATATCGAGTATTAATAAAGCCTTGAACAAGTGGTAGCCCCAGGCTACTTTAATGTGGCCTTGCCATTGGCCCTGTTAATCCAAATGGTATTTAGCTTCTAAAACAAGCATACGGAGCCACCACAACTCTTCCCCTGGCCGAGGTGGTGGCTCCGACATGAGTGACCAGGGGCCACTTTTGGCGAAACAGGCTGCAGTCTGGAGATTAGAGAGCCAGCGGAGATTTGTGGAGGATAAATGTAAAGCTGAGCTGAACAATGAATAGTACTGGCCAAGATTGTTTAGGGGGATAAACGTTCACAAAAAAAAAAAAAAAAAAATCTGGCTCTGTGTGGGATTGAGTGTGTGCATCAGAGTGTGTTGTGTAGGAGTGTGTGCTTGCAACAGTGCGTGCACGCGTGAGATTAGCCTGTCTGGTACAGGGGTGAGCATTTTGGGGGTGTGTGTGTGTGTGTGTGTGTGTAGGGTAAGAAAGTTATGTGATGAGAGAGCTGTAGTGTAAATGCCAAAGCCAAAAAGACCAGACAGTCCTATTCGGAAGCCTTTGAAGCAACGCGGCTTCAAATGCAGAGGGAGCTTAAAAGGATTTAGGAAAGGAATAGATCTGACACACACACACACACACGAAATTTTTGACTTGTGTTTTCCATGTTTTCTCTTTTCCATTTTGAGCCCGTACATTCTAAACCCTCACATATATGTTGGTTTACTGGGTTTAAAAGGGATCTCTCTGTTACTCTGTCCCAACCATACACAAGGTTCGTCAAAGATTACAGCAAATGGCAAATCTCTGGTATTCTCACCGAAGTCGACGAAGGAGGACTGTCCGATAATCTTGGCTGGTGGCTCTGACGGCATGACTTCTTCTCTGGTGAAGTTCCCGTCCTGAGAGGAGAGAGGAGAGAGCGGTGAGTGAGACATAAACGGTAAACATAATGGTTCTGTACTCTTTCTATGCAGCAGGACCGAGGTTGATGGGACCTTAAGCGGACCATAGATAAGCAGTCACAAAGGATAGCTTCTGTGTGCATCTATGTTTGTGCACAAGAAGTACATACATGTACAAGCACCGTTTATTTCCTGTTGCAGTGTATGTGAATGAAATAAGCTGACAGGAAGTAAACATGGACCCAAGCTGTCATGGACCCAACTGAACGATCAGTTCAGTTAAAAAGCCTCCCGAGAAACAAAAAGAAACTGAAAATGTGATGATTAAATGGATGTTCCCAGAGCAAAGGTGACATTATAGAATATATAACTTATAACAAACCGAGTAAAGCAACAAATCCTCACATCTGAGAAGCTGGAACGGGTAATTGTTTTATCTTTTGCTTGAAAATGGATTGAAAACATCTAATGTCTGACATTTCTGCTCGAAAAAGGACTCGACTTAAAGATTGTTTCAGATTAATTGACTGCAGACTAATGAATTCATAAATTGATACTCTTTTCTTTTCAGCTGTAATTGATGTAATACTTAAGTTGTAATGTGCACCCTTAATAATGGCAACAAACGGCATCATTTGACGGTCCTGGCTTGCACCGGATGCGCTGAAACGACACAGGAAGTTGTGAAGGGATTTGCTGAGTATCAGGTGGGAAGTAGTGCCGCAACACATGGTGACATGACGCGACGTCCCAGGTTCACCTGCGTCCCGATGAAATATATGGGCCTAATTCCAAAACAATGGGTGTGGGAGTTCATACGCACATCACATGCCCTCGGTGTGTGGTGCCCTTTACAGAGGGCATGGGAGAGATAAGGAGATAAGCATATTAGTGTGTGTGTGTGGGATCAGATGTGACTCTGTGCAGTGGGAAACTGTTGCCTGCTGATAGCAGCATTAGTGATTTATGAGAAAGAGAAGGTGACAGACATTCAAGGAGCGAGTCAGAGAGAGAAACATATGCATTATGTATAAGTCCTGTATGTGTGGTTAACAACACTCAAGTTACTGCTGTGTTCACTTTTCTGATACATATAATTAAGTCAATGAAAATGAATACTTTATTCTATAGCTAAAATATGAGGAATAAGGAACAAAATCATTAATATCACATGTTTTCAAATACTTCACATAATCTACAAGAATAAACTCCGGTATGAGAAGATAACATTTTTTTTGTTTTTTAGACCAATATTGCGACATCTTCTGTATCATTCCCTATACACAAGCATTTAATCATTCTATGGTACATTGGACACAGTCAACGTATTAACCGCTCTTTCATGTAGGCCAGGCCGATGTGTTATGATGAACTGATGCATGAATTGTAGGGCTGACTTCCTTCTGCTCCGTTGCACACGGGGCTCTTTTTCACAGCAGTGATTTACGGGGGCGGGAGGGACATGTGAGAGAGACGCTTGGAAAAATGTGTGTTTATTTAGCCGAGATCGTCATTCCTATTCTTTTTTTTTGAACGAGGCCTCCGTTTGAAGCCTCGTGTCAAACGGAGACCTACACTGGACATTTACGAACACTTGACAACTTAATTGTTCACTTCTTCTCTGCTCCGGATAAATACTTATATTAAATCGCAATTGTCGGTTTGAATGCCATTAATTGTTCCTCCAAATTATCAACTCAATACATGCTGTTCCAGTCTGTATGACGACTAAATTACATGAACTGATTGGTCTGTGAGCGTCACTCGCTGTGCCGGTTCAAAGCCGATTATTTTGAGGTCAAAAACCTTACACACACCATTCTCCACGTTACGTCTATTGTCGACAGAAGCCTTTTCAGTTTGGAGGCTGACAGCATTTTACGTTAAGTTTGGTTAAATGACAGAACCCACAAAAAAAAAAAATAACCGTGAGTGAGACAAGACCAGTTCAGATCTCAGTGAGGGGAGGGCAGCATGTGGGAACAATACGGACTATTTATTCTAAAGGTAGGTCTCCATCATCTTCGCCCCACAGAGGGGGTTCCTCTCCTGAGGGAGAGAGCAAAGGTAAGAGAGGGTCAAAAACCTGGTCTGGAGCCCTGCAGAAACCCGCTGTCTGAGTCCTGTTAAGTGACTGCCGATGAAAATACCCCCAAATAACAGCTTTTAGATAAGAAAAACAAGAAATAAAATGCCTTTATCCACCGTTTTACAGCCACTACTTTGACCACAGAATATATACCCGGTGGCCCTCCTATCAGGCGCGGTCGCATTGAAGTGCGGACGCACATATGTCGGCACAGCTGAGCTCCGATCGCAAAAGTCACGTTTGAAAGAGACACGTGTAACCCCGGCCACTGTGACAGCGAGCCACTATGTACAACACCAGGACTCTGAAACCAGGGCAGCGTAATTGAATTCAGGCATCACTCATTCCATTTTTCACATCTGTCCCTTTCATACTATAACAGCTCAACATGTCATGTCTTGAAAAAAGGCCTCTTGCTCTATCATAGGGTAGGTAGATGACGTTTTTTTTTTTTTTTTTTGAGAGGGTGGTTCTGAAATTGCAGGGAAAAAAAGGTTGTCTATCCTCACTGGAGGTGTAGTGGGTCCACACTGTCACAGAAACGGCCTTCTTGATCATCTTAATGGCAGCCTCATACGCACCGTCTCCAACTCCACCCTGAGACATTTAGATTAGTGGACTAATGAATAGTGCTGCCAGCATGATGGTTCAGTAGATTTATGACGGCGTTCCCTTTAGGTCAGCTAGTACATCAATGTTTTAACATATTAATGAGGCCTCTGCAGGACCGCTCATAAAGGACAGGAACGTGAATACTGGCAAATGGTCTTATAATCTGGATCCAGGCAGGTTTTCCTGCGGGGGGGAAAAAAAAAAAAAAAAAAAAGTCTTTGGCAAAAGGAGTGTTTTATGTTTTGATGGGAAGATAATGACTTTGCTTTGGATAAATAGGAGCTGGGTAGCTGGGTAGCATGAGCAGACACAGCCACCATGACGGAACAAACGAATATCATCACACACCATCTAACATCTGGTTTTGAGGGTTATGTTGTGTGAGAGTGAAAGCATTATTTCCGAATATCATTCGTTTTACTTTCAGTGTCTGCTAATCATACACTGCCTAAATAGTGCTGACTGTGACTGAAACCCGAACAATCCTAATGAGGTTATTTGTAGAAGATTGGTGCCAGAAAAGTGTCCAGAAACTGGATACGTGGATAAATCATATAACACATTTAATATTATTAAACGTCCATTAACATGTTTTAACAAGTTCTACAAAACCTTCAAACTGAAGTCACTTAATCACAAGACGTCCACGTTGTGTTTGATGCTGTGCAGGAAGCCCGATGTTACATTCAATGAAAATTATACATGGCAAACATGTTGTGCTTTCAGAGGTTAATCATTCGCATCTGCTTTGACGCTTCGAATGCGGATGAGGCAGAGATGTAGAGCCATTTATTTCGGCGATTTAATTGGGCCACGTCCCTCATCCAAAGATTCAGGCCATCACTGGCAGCGGTGACATTTGTTTGTCGCACAATTCTATTTGTTTCAATTTGTTAAGAGCAATTGGTTCCTTAAACTTTGTGTATTGAATGTGCAAACAAACCTTTGACGACAGAGTTCAACACACACATACACACTGAGGGTGGGCGAAAAAATCATCACAATGTTGTTGTTTTTTTACTTAACAGTACAACCTCACTCATTTCCGTCTTTTTTAAATATAGCCTTACAAGGTACCAAACACCACACCAAATCTCAAATGTAATGCTTCTTTAAAGTTTCTTTTTTTTTGTCAATTACTTTTCCAAATATTTATCAGTTACCTTTCAAAATACACATGAACCACTCTTCACATACCTTAATGAAATCCACTGCACAGCACTAACTTAAAACTATGTCACTTCCAAAGCTGCTTCTACTGTTAAACGTGTTATTTCCTTCTTCCAAAGCAGTGCTGAAGAACATAAGGAGCAAATGCCCGGAGTTGACTTTGTGTGTCCCAATTCATCAGAGCACACAAGGCCAAATAGCCTCCTAAGTTACCGTATGCCCCGGCTGCTGACGGACAATGGAGCATGTAAAAGTGCTCATTCCACATTAAGCGCACATAATCGTCACTCGTCCTCCACTCTGGCTAAAGTAAAGATGAATGCATTTAGGTAGATTTTTTACATCGCAGTGGCGCTAATCATTTACAGACAGCATTCCTTCTCCTCACATGATTTATGAATAATTCATGCAAAAAAAGTAAAGAGAATTATATATAGAGCGATATACAGTATGTATTACCCTCCTGCTTTCTTAAATGCATGCGAGTACGTCCAACTGACCTGTGCAGAAGGATATGACTCACTTTGAAGCTGATCTCTTCAAAAGCGGGGAGAATCAACTCATGTTAATTAGATCATAAGCTTCCGATCGCGCGCACACAAACTCTGACACAGATGTGGCAACAGGGTGTTAACTCTCTGCGCATTGAGGATGAGATCTCGGTGTGATTGACTGCTGCTGGCTGCCTGATTGCAAGATGTCATGATTAAAACTGTGATGCTTGTGACAGTTTGAGAGCAGCTGATTGATATGTGAAGATGAAAGGATTACATGTCTTCCTATTATTCTTGCATCTGTTCACATCAACCCCCCCAACACACACACACACACACACACCTCGCCAAACAGTTCAGTGGACTGACATACCGGTATGCACAGTTGTAGCAGCAGAAGAAATTTTCATGAAAGGTTGCCTCCCAGCTGCAACTGGGAGGGTTTAACGTGGGTAAAAGCTACAAAGTAAATATGGTAAAAAAATAGATGCTGATGCTGGTGTCAAACGTGTACTGTGTATGAATTTGTATGCAGTGGCGCATGACATGCGGGATAAACTGTTGCTGGGAACAGTGGGATTAAGGGTTGGATCCACTCAGCGGTGCGCCAGACTGCAGACATGCAAGTGTAGTAATATTTCATATTATGTGGCTATAGTAGCCAGGATAAAGCTACCACAATAGCTTGTGAACAAAATATATGTTCTACTGTTGAGTAAGGTGAACTGAATGCTAAACTGTGTGCTACAACTCATACAGAGGAACAGACTGTGTGAGGCACAAATCACATGACCCTATCATGAATTCAGAGATAAGTGTCACAATAATAAAAAATAAATGTCTGTATTTAAATGTTTCCATACAGAGTCAAGATAAAGTAAGGCCAACTTCAGCTCATGTAACTCTATTATGTGCATATAATGCTTTTAAGGCCAGAGGGAACATTTGTAATAGTTAGGACGGCATCAAATTAGTATGAAATTAGCTATTTGGCAGGAGCCCATTTCATTGTTCTCCTTTACAAGAACAGAGAAAAAAAAAGGGTCGAAGGAAGCAAAAATGTTCAAGTGTTTCAAAAGTACACTACGAAATGTATTTTTGTTTTCCATCTTCACCCTAACATCCTGGCCCTGTATGCTTGGTGAGACTGTCACGCACTGAAAGTGTCTGACCGACCACAACGAAAGAGGCCGATGTGTTTCTGTAGCACGCTGTAGTGTACGTGACCAGAGGAAACACCTTCTCCCTTAAAAATAAAACTAAATGATTGTATCAGCCCTTGTGGAATTGACCTTTAAAACCCCTTGTCTCGACTTGACGGCCAATGAAAACACCCCCCCCCGAACCCCCTCTGTGACTGCCTTCTCTTGTGCAATCGCAAGAAAACAGAGGAACGGGGAGGGTTGGAAGGAGACTGGGGGGGGGGGAGAACAGAGAAAAGTAATTAAAACAGAGTGTTGGAGAACGAGGGGTGTGCTGGCCTGTGACCGATAGATGAAGCCGCATTGAACCGAATACCGTCGTGGTATTAAAAAGGGGGTCTAATGCACTGGGTATGCTGGGAAATGCCTGTTTGTGAATATATATGTCACGGTGTTTGCGTGTGCATCCATGGCCATGTATGTCATGTGCCTTTGGAGGAACAATATTTTGGAATGTATTCAAGAGAGAATGGATGTGAGCACTTGCGTGTGCATTTTAGGAAAGAGGAAACGTACAGAGGATTTAAAAACAGAACCACTTGACCAAACAATGAAGCTTTAGCAATCAATTGAATGAAATATTTACCCATCCCACAAAGAGTAGGACTAATAAAAGATCGAATGATGAATTAATTTCGATGAATGGATGACACAAAGCAAAACGAATGAACGCTTCACACACAGTCAGGGAGGAAAATGATCTGCTATCACAATTATTAAACGCTTTGCACCAGGCTTGTTGTGAGTTTAAGGAGATAAGCTGCGTTTCCTTACACGAATTAAACAACCCTTTGACATTAAACTACTTCCTATTTTTACTGAGGCAAAACACCACCGCAATCGTCATCTACAAACACACTCACCCGAACCCTTTTTATTCATTTGGCACTTGAGCTAAATGCTAATGTCAGTCTGCTAACATGTTCACAGTAATACTGCTAGCATGTGAATGTGTGGCAGGTATATTTGTAACATCTCACTTTGCGCTGTTAGCGCGCTAAAATTTGCATTCTGGCATAAACAGCGGCTGAGGCTGATGGGAATGTAATTAACTTTGCAGGTATACAATAGACATTTTGAGCTGAACATGGCCGGTAGACAAAGGCTCAAAATGATTTATCCTCTGGGGAACATGAATGCCTGTACCATATTTCATGGCAATCCATCGAATAGTCGTTGAAACGTTTCAATAAAAAAACGAAAATGTCAACCTCATGGTGGTGCGAGAGGAAAAGTGATGGTGTCAGGGTCCATCCTTTGGGGACCATGAATATCTGTGCAAGATTATGTGGCAATCCGTCCAATAGGTGTGGAGAGATTTCAGTCTGGACCAAAGCGGTGCACCAGCCGGCACAAAGAAAGACATCGCCGACTGTCCACCAAACGTGTTTCTGAAAAATCCTTCTAACCTGAACCAGAGACAGACAACGAACAGGCCTGGAAAGACATCCGGAGTGGATGTAAAAAATATATCAACAAATAAAAATGATCTTCATGTTTTCCTCCATCCTCTCACCTTATCAACATTCCTACCAGCCGTCACCCACTCTACTGGTTTTCGGGTATGGTGGTTTATTTGCTGTGTTTTGCTCCTGCTTGGTCTCGCTCTACCCTCACACACCTTCCGTCTCTGCCAAATCCTTCAGTCCCTCTCTGTTTCGCTCTTCTTCCTCGCCCCCCCCCGTGATAAGATAGACTACTGTTCGGCTTGTGCCTCGACCTGCTGAATTTCAAATAGGCCCCTTTCGGCAACAACCCAGAGCCACGGTCTCTCCTCTCTGCTCTCCCAGAATATTAACTAGTCCTGCGGCAGTGCTAACAATCCTGCAGCCCCCCCAAGCCCACCAACGTGCTGCAGATCTGCTTGTTGCACTGAGGAAGTGAACGGCGGGGGTGGTGTGTGGGTCGACACTCTCTGATCACAAGGTTTGGTTGTACGTGCACACATAACCTTCCTATTGATGGATATAGTGGACTTAGTTTATATGAGGAACACACACAACATGTCTTTTATGGACCATATTGTAGGTTCCTAGTTAATGGACAATGGTGGGTGAGAGAAGTAAAGAAATGTGGTTATTTTATTACTATTCCATGTTTTACAGTTCATGTAACAGCTATTTACTTTGGTTCCCACTAATCCTTTTCAACAAATAACAAAACAACTCATGTTTCTTTAGATAATGACCAACTGTCATTGGATTCGAGCATTGTAAAAGAGGACAGTGCAATACTACATACAGGAGCTAAAAGCGATAAAGGGAAGAAAAGTTGTGTTCAAGAAAGCCCGTTATGGTCAGTGCAGGTAATACCAAGTGTTATGTTCAGTGTTCATGTTAAGCGTCTCCTCCGTTGCTGCTACAGTACGACTCAGGGAAGAGCGCTGCAGTCCCTTGACCACCAGCTGGGAACCACTTAACTAGATCAGTGACAGGTTTTGAAGAGTCTACACCTCTAAAGAACGGACACATCTGTCTGAATAGCTTCTGTTATTGTGTTGCATAAATGATGATCTGGAGAATACAGAAACATTTGCAAGTACAAATGTCATTTTGTCGAGTAAGTCTTTCGATTAAACGTTTATGCATCAGAGTAATATTTGCTGGCTCCAGCCTCTCACATCTAAGAAAGTCTTTTCCTTTTCTGCGGATTTTACAAGTGACCTTTTGACCTTTTTTGACTGTTGGTTTGATGAATGAGCCTTTTTAAAAAAAAAAACACCACTCGGGTATGTGGTAACTTGTGAATGGCATTTCTCCTTAAAGAGTGCAGCAATATTTCTGCAATGTCATAAACTTTACACAAGAGCCCTGCAATGATACATACAACAATGTGATATTTTATTACAAAAGAGAGTGTATGATGACTAAGTGACATAAAAACTAGGACTTGACTTTGCTCAACATTACGGTAACCACACAGGGGTCATGCCTTCTATACTGCTGGGCTGCAGCGACTCAGCCTGAAGCGGACTCTTGAAAAGACAGGCAGTAAAAGAAAAACTGGGACAGGAAAATTAGTCCAAAAAAGTAATTACCTTACTGATCCAGGTCTCAAACTTAGGCCCTTCAGTTGTCAGGAACAAATCTGGAGGGGGGGGGGGGGGCAGAGAAACAGAAGGGAGGAGCAAGTCAATAATTTGATTCAATGTATTTCTGTAGCATCAAATCATAACAGACGTTATCCCAAGACACCTTTTCATACTCAGCAGGTCTACACAGAGACCAAACACTCCCCAGTGAGCGAGCACTGAGAGGACGGCTCCCCTTCATCTGGCAAGCATAATCAAACACGGAGCAGGGGGCTATTGATCTATAATGAAGAAAATGCTGGAGATTATTGGGAATGACAGCAATGAAAATGAACACCGCGCTCTAGCTGTGAACCTTTGTACCTTTACGGACTTGATGAATTGATCATGAAGAAAGAACAAAAGATCAATAAAAAGAGAAAGCCTGTAATTACTTAGATTGCCTTATTTACACAGGAGAGGCAATCCAAATTATAATGAAGGCTTAAAAGAGTTTCTGTGTTCTTAACTCCCGATGGCAGCTTTTGGTAAAGGTATATCATAATAATACATATTTTGCCTTCTTCAATGCAATGATGGGGGGGGGGGAAGGTTCTCAGCACATGTTCCACTGCTAGTGACACCAGGCGAAAGTCGGCGTTATAATACCGAGACCTGTCAACATCATGTACAATGCACAGGGCAGGTTGTAAATACCAGGACTAGTCAAACTCATACAGCTGACGGGTACAAAATAACAAAAGTGAACATCGGTGTGGAAACTTCCACATTCCAAAGCTTGGTTTATAGATGAACAGGATGCAGAAAAACAGGTGAAGAGAGAAGGGGGGGGGGGGGGGGGCGTTCCTCGCTCAGGCTGCACTTCCAATGCAGTCTCTCTTCTCTGTGAGAGGACGGTACCTTTCACCGCTGGGGTTCTCCGGACTGCGGTTCTGCCCCCGGTAATTAGACATGAAATAAATATTGGCATTGATCCGCCTTAGGGCCCTGCTACGTGTTGCCGTGCTCTGCATGGGAAAATATCAATGATAGTGGAATGGGGGAATGAATGAAGGGAAGACAGGAAGGAGGAAGACTGCGTGTAACGACAGAGTGTTAGTACTGCAGTGGCCACTGCGGCCAATAGCAAGAAGCTGCAGTGTGACTCCTCACACTGTATGTGTGTGTGTGTGTGTGTGT